CGCTGCATAATCATTCCTGATTGCTAGTTAGTGGCTGGAACAGAGAGCTGGTAATTAGGGCTCCCAGGGCCTATTTTCAGCTCTGTCAGTCACTCCCTCTGTGACCTTGGGCAAGCCGCTTATGCTGACTCTGTCTAGGCCTCATCTCACCTACCTGGAAGGTGGCAATGGCACGTCCAAAAAGTTGGCAGGGACGTAGGGAAACAGATCCCAGGCTCCTCCATCAAAGTATCTGCCACCCACGGCCATCCCCCATTTCCTCCTTCCCCACACCGCTCGCTCCATGCCCCCTGGGAAGTAAATCTATCATATTTTTTACATGTCCTTATATAAAGGCTTAAGCCTTTGAGATGCTGTGTTTTGTGGTGTTTTCTCTGTGGTTGTTTCGAATATTTATCCCTATGGCAAGATGGAAATGCTGATGGATTGAGCTACGTGCCAGAGCTCTTACCCCATATCAGAAGCAGCCAGAGCACCTGATTCACCAAAATATTTCGATAAGGCGAGAGCTATTGCAGTGAAATTATAACGATTTAATACAAAACATCCAGTATATCGTAGTGACTAAGCTGCAGCAATTTGTTACATTGACAAATAATTTATTTTCCCTCAGAATCGTGAGAGGCCTATTTTACAACATATTGCCCTGCATTTGTAGATCCCTCTTGATGTACACTTTTTAAGGGAAGGTTCTTGGGTAAAAATCCCTTTAAGTCTCGTGACATGGCAATCTCCTTGTCTCCTCTGGGCTTCATTGAAGCCCATTTGTGGCAATCAGCAGTAAAAAGTTTCACGAGCGATTCCTCGGCCTGACATTCGGTCTCACCATCTGCTGCAACGCCCGGCCTCTGGGAGACGAGCTGATGGTTTGGGGTTTTACAAAGAGGCCATACAGTGATGCAGCAGCCTCTTGCAGTCCAAAGCTGAGGTAAATGTTAATGTATTTTAGATGAATTTTCATTCAAGAAGCAGTAATTACACACCGTTCTCCTCATGGGAGTACCTGGGGAGTCCTGCTGATGTCCTGCTGATGGCATTGTCTATGTCATTGCCTCCTCACCTTCTCCTCATGAGGGAATAAAGGGTAAAAAACTTTATTTAATTGAATATTCAGTGTCGGTGAGATGTGGTTTTGAACTGTAGACACCAGCTGGTGTTGGCATTATGGCAGGCAGGTCAAAGGAGTGGACTTGATGCTTTAAAAGAAAATCCTGAAGAAAAGACAGAAGAAAAGAAAGACCTGAGAAGTTAGCTGATCATTCTCAGTCCTCACCTAGGAACGTCAGCAGATCCTTTAGCATCTTTAACCCAGACCATTATGGAAGTTGAAGAGAAAGACTGAGGTCTTGCCCTTGCTTCAGAAGGCTTCAGAGAAGTATTGAAGCACCCAGGGGAGGGCAGGCTGAGGTATTTTCTTATTGATGTCTAAGCACGTCCTTCTTAATCAGTTTATGAATGACTGATAGCTCGAATGACGCATGGCTGAGGTTCAGAAAAGAGGTGAGAGGGGTATGTACAAGGTAAGGTGGCATTTCTTGGCAAACAGAGAGGCCAGAAATTGTTTCAGGTTTTTAGCTGACACCTTGTGATCAGACAGAAAGGACAGCTCTTGGGCTGAACTGACCTTTTTGATCAAGCTACCTTTCTACAGACCAGTATTGAACAGGACTGGGGAGAAAGTGACCTTCATGGGCTGCAGGGATGAGAGGCATATATAGAGAGATATATTTTCCTAGGCCTGTCCTTTGTGGGTGTCCCTCGTGGAGGAACGACAGCCATCCCTAAAGCTTCGCTGGCACTCTTTCAAGCGGGAGGCAATATCTCACGGCTGACAACGTGAAGGGCTGCAGGGAGGTCTGAAATACTGGAAGTGTTTACTAACAAGAGGAGACCATCCGTCATCGCCACTCGAGCTGCTCAAGTCTTAATTCCAGCTGGAATCCAGAGTGTGCCAAGTGCTAGACGTTAGGTTCAGGGGGATGAATTTGTGTTTAATCCTCGGACAGAGTCTGCGTGGACCTTGCACGGAAAGGGCAGGTGTGACTCAGCAGAAACTCCAGCAAAGAGCCGATGGATTGAGGTTAATTCCTTCAGCAGCGGCCGTGCAGGAAAAGGAAATAAAAGGTTATTTTCCTAAATGAGCCACTGCATTTTTTTATTTTTTTTTTTATTTTTTTTGGTCAAGAGCAGCAGCTGCTCGTGACTCTCTGCATCAGCTGGGAAAAGCAGGGTATTAATCGCACGTGTTGGGTCAGGAATCCTTTGGGATGGCCAGGGCTTTCTGATGCTTTCTGGCCTCAGAAAACATCAGAAAACCTGGCTGTTTTGTCAGATGCCGTGGGCACGGTCAGGGCTACAGCATTTTGCCAAACACTTAGGAGAGGAACAAGGAGACAGCTACTGTGTTGTTCTGAGGAACAAATCCTGTCAAACAAATCTAATTTCCTTCCCTGACAGGGTCACGGCCCTGGAGGTGAGGAAGAAGCAGAAGATGCCTACCAAAGCACTTCGAAATGCTTTTAGCACCGTCTCACCTGCCGTTCTTAGGAGAAAGGCAAGCAGGAGAGCATCGCCTGGGCTCTGCCGCATCTCTGCTCCAGACGTGGTCCCGTGTCATGATAGCAGAGATGCATCCTCTTCTAATGTGCTCTTGAGAAATGTAATAGCAGGCAGAGCACTCCCGTCCTCACTTGTACTCTCCTGTATAGTTAACACTTTGGTAAAATACCCCTCACCTGCCTGGAAAGGACCTTATTTTTTTCCGGGGCTATAAAGTTGGGTTTATTTCTCGGGCTGGTGGCACGCACAGTTCACAGGGTTTGATGTAGCCTTCTCTAAAGTGTTTTGTGCTCTGAACCAGCTAATGCTTTTATTTTTTTTAGGGGAAAAAGGAAAAGTTAACAGTTCGGAAAGATTCGCCCTAGGTTGATCTTCTTGTGTAATGATGACTTCGCTACCCAAATTTCAAATACTCCACGGAAACGTTTGCCTACCAACCCAAGGCCTTCAGCAAGGTGAGTGTCTCACCTCAGATATACAAATTTATGCCTCTTTAATGGACACAAGCAATTACCCTGCTTGAAAACGAAGGGTGTGGGGCAGACAGAGCTGTTCTTTCATGATGAAACAGTTGCCAGCCAGCCTCACATGCCCTCAGAGCAGTGAGCCTTCCTAGGTTTCAAGGCTGATAACGTTCAAAGCTCCAGCTAGGCAAACACCATCAGCTCGTTAACCTGATAACAACAACACAAATAACCGTGAGGGCCCTTCCGAGGGACTTGGACTCAAAAACGAGTGCTCCGAGGTGATTATTTCCCACTTGGCTTAATAAACAAGCCAGAAAAAAAACGCTTTTTGATATTTCCAAATGTGATTTTAATAGAAAAAAAATAAATACACTTGCGTTTGTTTCACCGGATATCCCGAGCGCAGCACACAAATTGTTTTATTTATGCTCATGGCCCTGACAAAATCATCTTATTCTGAAGAACAGGAGAGATACAGGTTTATGCTAAACCCACAGGTGAGATAACCAAGCGTGAGCAAAAATAACTCTTCAACTACCTATCACAGCTGACCCTAGACCTGAATTTATTTCCTCTAGGTAGGCAAATAGGCATTTAATGGAGTTAGAAGCTTATTTGCTCTGTATTACCTGTGTAGTTAAAAGAGATAAACAGAGATTTTTTTTCCTGGCCATGAGTTTAGAGCTAGCAGTGACTGAAGTTACCGCATAAAGATCTTGTCATTGGCAGCAGTGGATTGGGATGGGTCAGACCCAGGCTTCAGTTCCACTTGGAATTGACAGTATTGACTGAGAATCATCTATATTGGTTAAAAAGCACATTAGTTTTGTGTATTTCTTTACATCTCTTCACATCTTTTGATAGATTTACATCTTTTACATCTTCACATCTAGAATCAAGGATCATTTTAAGAGAAAAAGAAAATTCAAGCTGATAGTCTCAGGCAAACACATGTTTATCTCACGTCCTGCACTAAAGGAAATGTTCAAGAGCAGCTCGTGTTTCTCTCTAGATTGCCTTTTGGAATAACACACCCCCAAGAGAAAACTGCCTGCGGGCAAGCTTAAATGAACTCCTGATTTTTTACTTTTTTTTTTTCTTCTTAATTTTAATTTATTTTTCCATTTAATCTTTCAGTAGGCTAATTTGAGACCATTCTCCTCCTTTCCCAAATGCTCCACTCCGTTTAAAAACCTGGGCACATCCTCTGCTAGGGGCTTATATTTCAAAAAAATACCTAGAGGTGATTTGAGTTGGAAACTCAAAGCTCACGGAACTGTTTTCTATCAGTCACCCACTCAAACAAAAGCAAAACTAAATGTGCATGAGAATTAGGCATCAACTCCCTCAAACTGCCTTTTTAAGACTGTATACCTTAATTGGACATCGCAGATAAATCCTTTTAAAAAGCTGGAAAACGACGTTTTCAGCAGCCTGGAGCAGCTCGTGTTTTGTTCCAGGGAGCTGAAAAAAATGGGATGGGTTGGGGTGTCTGCTGCCGATCCCGAACCTCTCTTCAGAGCCTCCCTGCTCTCCTGTGCCTCTCCAGGCATTGAGCAGAAGGACTTACCCTCCAGATCTTATTTTAAGATAATAATGAGTTTTGTTCCTCATATTTAGCCCTCTTGATTTTTAAGCACCTGCATCTGCATTGGTTCTAGGTGTTCTGCAAGGGCACGAAAATCCCAGCGCTAGAAATGCCTGTTTTTCTCAAAATAAGAGGTACTCAGGCTTCCTGTGTGAATTACATGTCAGCACAGGAGCTATAGACTAACCAGCAAAACGAATAGAAAATCACATCGGTTATTCAGTAGGGAACGTCTGCAGCTTCTTACACACGTGAGCTTCTTCTTCAAAATGTTCTTGTGGTTAAAAACCTAGTCTTTCCCATTGGAAAAGGACTTTAAAAAGAGAGTAGACGGAGAGTTTTTAAGTGGCCCTGACTAGAAAATAATAACTCTGTTTTCAGAGAGATGTGCTGCACTCCTGCGCTTTATTTTTTATTTTTTTTTCCAAAGGTGAAATAAGATTGTCATAATGCAGATTGCAAACCACCCGAATTCAGAGCACTGCAACGACAGAATGAAAATTAGGTTTTTCTGTGAAATCAACATACTCATTTTTACAAGGTCAGTGTAGTAACAAAACAAAAGTTGGAATGGAAAACAGAACGAGAAAGTCAAATATAACCATTTCCTTTCAGTTTTGCGTATTTATTCATTTCTTCCTCCAAACATACGTATTCACATGGAACATTTCAACTTTACAAACATTTTTTTATCCTTTTCCTGGACCAGCCATATTTATATATGGGCAGGCAGATTAAATGACCCAGGAAGGTTTTTTTTGATATCTGACTTTGATAACCCTGTGAGTGATGGCTATGTGAATTCAGCAGGCAGAGGGTTATCCTTCCACGATGTCAGTCTCTTCAACCCCTCACTTTCCATCAAATGATCAATAACTCATTAGCCAGCACCTATTTAACTCCAGCGCAGCAAGGAATTGATGTCACCCATAAGGAAGCACGTAAGCACGTTCGGTAATGGTTGCAGACCTTCAAACAAACAAACAAATAAATGTAAAGACATTGAATTTTAATTTTATATAAAAATTTCTGCTGTTTTACTGCTGTACCACCTACTTAACAAAGACCAGGCTTTTCTTCAGTGCACTGTAATGCTTAAAACACCTCTTTGTGACACCTGAAAGTCTCTTAGCTGGTGCTAAGATGTCTTCTTACTGGTGACACTTACTTGTTTATCCCATCCAAATCTTTTTATCCCCTTTTTACACCTTTTTTCGGGCATTTCTCACTGATGCACTTAGACTTCCCTTCTCTTTTTGTAACTGCAGAAGTGAACTTGATTTACTTAGAGGACATAGTCTGCTTTTTTCTTTTTCTCTTTTCTTTTTTTTCTTTTCTTTTCTCTTTTCTTTTCTTTTGTCTCTTTTCTTTTCCTTTCTTTCCTTTTCCTTTTCCTTTTCCTGGCTATCTCATGGTACTCCATCTGCAAGAAGTCACATTTTCAGGCTACAGCTTTACTGTAGTTCAGGATATTGAGCACCACCACCACTGCCTTTAAAGAAATCACTCTGTTTAACAACTTCTGTGCTGCTGCACAGATCTACTCTTTAGCCCCAGTGCCGCAAGATGCCTGTCGCTTCTTTCTGAAGAGCTGAGCACACAAGCAGACCTAGTTTCTGAAAAGCGGAGCCAGCAATTCCCCAGGCTCTCCCAGGCACTGCTCTAGATGGTACGGGATATTTGAGAATTAAATGGACCATTTCAGAATGCCTCCCAGAAGATTTGCTCACATTTCTGATGGCAGTCGCAGCAAACCATCCCCATTCCAGCAGATATCTTAACAATTCAGCTTTGATGCACAGCAGCACCTTTGGTTCAAAGGGTTTGCAGGTTGTTTTACAGGAAAGTATCTAATGAATCTCAGCATGGCCACGCAGAGCTGGTATAGCCACCTCAGGTACTGCCAGGAGATGATCTCTCTCTCAACGTGTATCATTTCCATCTGCAAATAAAATCTAAAAAATAAAAAATCAAAAAATGTCAAGGGCTAAGCCAATTTTTTCATTCAAGAGCAATCAGGAAGCAAAACTCTGCCTCAATTGCTTCGATCAAAGTCATGAGAATTACATATTCTTCTCCAGAACTGGAAACTTCCTCTTTGGAGGCTTTCTGCAAGCTCATCCTTTTTAACCCTATTCGTTTCCTGAGCCAAACACCAGCCAAAGTCCTCTTCCTGGGGAGAAACACTCGGCACGGAGCTATTTTTTTTTGCCAGAAGTGCTCCTCCTGACACTCAGCAGCAGTAGTGCCCTTGAATCATCTCGAAGCTGCCTGAGTGCTTGAGAGATGAGGTTTGCAGCTAATTAGATTTTGCTGCCTAAACTGTGAACTTTTTCATCACTTTCCCCTACCAGCTTGGCAAAGTTTGCAAAGATCCTTGTTTCCTTCTCCCTCGGGAGGTGGCAATGCAGAGAGTGCCTTGCTCAGCATTATTCTCTGACAGCTTTTCTTCTGACCAAGGATGCAGCCCGTGTTGTGCTACTGAAACTGTACACTGTTGTAAAAACCCCAAATTAAAGCCTTAATGATCAATTTAATTCGACTTGTAGCTGTCTGTGTTGGGAAGATGCAATTTTACTGCTCTGAAAGTATTTCATTTCAGCGAGCATTATTTCTCTGCAGGTGTGGCAAACCCACAGAAGCACACTGAGGATGAGAAATAGGAATCTAACTCTGCAACAAACACATGATGTTTTCAAAACCAGATGCTGCACTAAGTGGAGAAGAAAACATGCATGGCTGGTAAAATGCATGAAGCTTTCTGAAAGGTGAATGTAATAATGCAGTATTGTTTGACATTGGTTTTGGAGAGAGAAATAGCTTGCTAAGCCATCCCCATATCTTTTCTGCCCATCAGCTGACCTATCTGATTGTGACAAGTACTTTTTTTTTCCCATTAATCAACAGAGCAGCTTGCTTAATAATTTCCTGGCTCTCAGTCCTGTAATTTAGGTCATTTAAGGGTTTTTTTTTTTCCTATCCTAAGCCTAACGGGCGCATTCAGGATCCTGATGAAGAGCGGAGCTCCTGACGAATGGCAGCTCTCTTGTGAACTTTAAAGAGTGAGTTTGCAACAGTGATGAACAACGAGGTGCAGCTCTATTTAAATCAAACGGAGGCAGACAGTTTCCGAAAGAAACTGAGCTTCCAGCAAGTGCTGGAAAATTTGCCAAGGACCGAGCACGAAGTATAGTGGTAAGATAGAGATAACTACTTCAAAATCACACGGTATGTGTCGAAATGCATTTTTGAGGCTTTCCTTTTGACATTTGCTACATTCATACCCGCTCATTTCTTCCGTGAAGCTCGTAACCCAGAACTTCCAGCACACAACCTGCTGAAAAGGAGCATCCTCTAGTGAAATGTGTGTTAGTACAGGTAGAGATGATGGCAGCTAAACTGCAGCCTGAAATATAGAGAAATGCAGAAGGAAGGCTGAACTTTCCACCTCTCAAGGCTTTAGGAGGCTACGATCCTTAAACACAGCACCCATCCTAACAAAGGCAGCTGGCTGTCAAGAAAACCTGCTTGCATTTGAGTGCCAACAGACACAACTTTTTTCACAACACGTTCCCTAGGCTGGCTGGGAGCAAGCTGGCTCTACTTCTTCCTTCCTCTTTTGTCTGTGGGTTTTCTATTAAAAAAAAAAAAAAAAAAAAAAAGACATTCAGGTATTTCTTTATGTTCAAATGAATGAGAACATTCCGTTGAAGTCGCACTTACTAATTTCCTAATTCAAGCTCTAAGTGAATTTCACCATAAATCTCACTGGAGCCCCTTCTTACAATGTTTGCCATCCCAAGAACCCAGATGATTAATAACCGCAATCAGTATCGGTACTATTGTTATTCCAGTTTTCACACACACAAAAAAAAATGAGGGTCAGAGAGGTGAAATTACTTAGCCAATAGCACTTGGCAAAGCAGGGATAGGAGCAGAAATCAAACCCAGATCTCCCGAGAGCAGTGCTTCATCTGGGAAGGGAGCCAACCCCATACCCACTAGTACAGGAGCCCAGAAGAGTCTATATTTCGATTACAAGGTCGCTAAGGAAAAGTCATCTCTTCTGCACTTTCCCAGTCAGCATTTGCAGGAGTTAACCATGAATTTCATGTGCTAAACTCATAATTTCACGTCTTTGACAGTTTGGTTATCTGATTAATTGGCAATTCAATGTAAATGCCTTAAATTATTGACACAATTATAACAATAATCTGGTAATCATGCTGGATAAGTCCTAGTTAGTTTATGAAATTAGTAAATTTTTAGTAGGAAAAGATACCTCTGCATAAGAACCGCATTCACTGGGCTGTAATTCAAAGTTTAATGACTTGCCTTCGCGTTTACCTGGCTTTGGATCAAGTGGTACCGATGCAAATTGCTCCTGTAAAGACCTCGCGTCCTTGCATTTCCTCCTGGGTTCACGCAGATCCTATTTCTACCAATGTCCCAGGACTACATGGAATTATATATGAGTTTAGTCTCAGTTCTAGGATTTATCCTTTGCATTGATTTTGATTTTACGATTGAAATTGAGTAATCTGCTTAAATAATATTAAAGATTCACTGCTAAATCTTTTAGACTTAAACTAGGCATAACTGTCAAGAATAATATTTGGAGGAATATAAGGGAATGGATAAAAGCCCTGAATGTCTTCTGCTGCAAAATACGATGGGGAACGGAGGGTTTTCATACAATATTAAACGCCCTGCAGGCACAGCATCCCCTGGTAACCCTCCTCGCTGTCCTGGTTGTTTGCTGTGCGTGTGTGCAGTGGGACACGAAAGGAAGCAGGAGCTTTACTGCAGAGAACAGTTTGTTCACCTATTATCTCCCCGGATTTTTGGCTGCAAAGCCGTCAGGGCCAGGAATGATCAAAATCTTTTTAATAACTTCCAAAGGCTTGGGCCCCCGGAGTGGAAACCCAAGCCTGCGGCAGGCAGCTGAGCTCCTGCATGATGTGGAGGGAAAGCTGAGAGCCCCTGAGCTGTAAAGCAGCTCCAGCCTGCTCTGGGAGGCATCTCCTGGATCTCATCTCTAAAGCCAGAACCATAGACAGGGAAAAAATTAAACTCCTGAGCCTGCCAGAAAGCACGAAGTAAAATAAGCCAGGTTTCCAGCCCCGATTTGGCTGAGGTGAGTCCACGCATGTTCTTCAGGGACTGCCCTCCAGCAAACATCAACATGAAGGACGAAGCCAGAAGGCAGGGATGCTTTTTTTTGTGGTGTTTTAACCACGAGGCAATGAGTTATAATCCTTTTGGTACCTCACGCTGGAGCGGGCTCCTGCTCTGTGGTGCCTCGCTTCAGCGCAAGAGCAGGGCCTCGAGGCCTACTCCCACCCCCATAGCAACGGGTATGTTCCTGTAGCCTGATGCTCTGAATTCTTCCTATATCTATAAAAAAAGGTGAATTGGGATCTGAATGTCTTTCTTCCCCATCTCCCGTGATGGTATTCGAAGCCTCTATAAAGTGTTTTCATGTGGGGGTCACCACTGGGCTTAATGCGAGGAGCCTAACACGCTGCAGGCCTCTGGGCACTCAGGATGAAGCCCGTTTATTTTCCAGTTCATCAGATTCAGCCCAATTTTCATTTTGTGCAGAGAGATTCACCACCAGGCCATCCTTTCACCTGAGAAGAACGGAGAAATTTTGTTTCCAAAAGAAAAGATCCTCTCCGTTCATGGCTGTGGTTAGCACCTGAACCAGCTGGGTTTCTATTTACAAAGTCAAAGTTGGTTTTTTTTTCCTAAGCTGGTTTCAAATCAAATCAACCGCAGGCGAATCAAAATTTAATTTTAAACAGAAAATGCATCGGGGATGGAAATAGAATATCAATCTCTAAACCTCCGTACTATGTCAATAATCCTTCTGTTTGCTAAGCTTGTGTCGGTTGTAAGAAATGTGATTTTTACCACATTATTTTTATTACTTCCTTCCCAGTTCACCTCTCGCAATAACTTTTTTTCCTATATAAATCCTCACTAATTTGAGCCTAAAAAGAGGTCGGTTCTACCAAAATGAGGTTTTAAAGGACACATTCTGCTGTTCTCCTGCAAAAATTAGGTGCCATCCCTTGTAGGAACCTCACGGGTAACTAAGTTGTTGCCATCAAGCACAAACTGAGGCGACAATTTCCCCCTAAGCACTCTCATTCGGCAGTTATAACTTTCTAAAAATCATCTTTTAGGCCCAAATTCCTCACGTCTCGAAACCTTCAGTCACTAATTTAGAATACTTGAGCAGGACAGCACTCCCAACCAGGTTACGCTCACCAGCATCTTCATGGGGCCATTTTGTGATTATGCTGGTAATGCCCTGGCAAAAATCCCAGTCAGGCACACTATTTCACATCTTTCTTTCTTTCTTTATAATTTTCTTTATTTCTAAGGGCTGTGCAGTGTAACCACACGGCCCGAACCTGAGCAGACACTGCAGTCTGTTGACAGCGGGGCTGCATTACAGTGCAGAGTGCACGCAGCTGTGTGTAAGATCCTCACCTCGTGGCAGCGTTATGTCACTCAGGATGCTGTCTGCAAGAGAATCTGGAGTGAGGGAGAAAAAAAATGATGTAAAAGGAAAAGAAAATAAATCTGTAGCACTCAGCTCTGTGAAAATGTGAATAAAGACTGACTTCATGGCTCTAGAAAAAATAAAATAAAATAATAATAAATAGCCACTGGGTCACCGTGGCTACGAACTAAGCCAGCTGCACAAAAGGGCTTTAAATATCTGCTGTGTGAGCTACTGAATTTAAGAGAGTTCATAGGTAAAGGTGTCCAGTAAGAAGGGTTAATGAGAAAATTGGGCCTGGGTGAGCCATTGTGGGGAAATTCACAGTTTCCTACTCCACCTCCCAGCACCACTTGGCTCTGGTGCGGGACATATTCTGTGCCAACTCCAACAAAGCCACAAAGGCAGAAGAGTTCAGGGTTTTTTTTTCAAGTTTTTGTTCTCTTTTTAAATTCCTGAGCCATCTATGAGCACCTTGTTCATGCCTTCAAGCTGCCGCAGGTTTTTTATTAGCAGTCTCGTGATCAAGACCAACCTACTCAGTGGAAAGGAGAGGAGAAAATAAACATTTAGTTAGGAGGCAAGGGCAGTACGTATTTTATATAGTGCAAACCACAGTTCTTTGGTTAATCCACGTTTCAGTATTTTGAAAGACAAGTTATCCATGACTTGACTAGCCATGACTCAGCCTTTTAAGTCTTCACATCACCTACCGTAATCCCTGTAAAGTGGCAGAGCCCCAAACATCTCCGATTTGCTCTACCACGGGGGAAGGAAGGGGACACAACCATTTCATGCTAGTCCATCCCTTCCCAGATCATAAAGGACACAGTGCCACTCAGAAAGCAACTACTCCACGCTACTTCATTTCCACTTCCTCGTCACACAGAGCCCAGCACCACATCCATTTATTGTCCCTCTAAACGCTACACCGAAGACAATATCACCTCTTCATTTCCATGCAGCCCCTCCTTCCGGAGATACATCATCTTCCACTTACACTGTTTAGACACCATTTAATCAAGCTACCACGCGGATATTTATCTTCTGGTGCACTTGGCTCATAAATAAGCAGCTCATCCATTCATCATTTTTGGTGCCGTCCTGTGGATTTGCTGTAATGGGTTTGCCCAAGAAGCGCAGCCTGACAATCGCACGCATCACTCAAGCACCCAGCTGCATTTTTCGGTGTCCACACAGCTCTGGAAGGTGCGGAACTACTGCGGGTGGCATTTGGAAGGAAAACATGTCATCTCTATTGACATGCTTCGGCGGAGAGTTTCTTCCACATCATAAATTCAGAAGATGCAATCAGAAGATCATTCATCGCCCCTATTAACTTTGTTCCTGGCGATGGGCTGTTATTGCTCTTAAATGCCTCTTATTGAGCAGTAACGAAGGGCACAACTGAAAAATGGCTTTAGAGTACAATGCATGCTCAGATGATCCAAACTATAAATTCCTCGTGACAGCACCATCGTTTCCCCGTGTACTTAACGTGATGGAGAATTAATCCACGGTCCCAGTCAAGCTCCGAGACTCGACCAACATAGAAATTGTTAATAACAATAAGCAGTTAATTAATTTCCTAAGTGACGGTGGAGTTACTCTAACTTTTTGGTAGGCGCTGGAAATATTAATAGGTGAAGGTGATGGGCAAGGCAAAGAATTTTTGGTGATGCAGGAGGTGAGGCCTTTTTTTGAATAACCACCACCACGATAATCCACACGCGGGCACCCAGGGCTCTGTGGTTTATCACCAGGATCAGCACCTGTGCAGTGCCCCTAATTTTAATATAAAAATATGTCCTTAATATAAAAATATGTTCTTTTTCTTGTAACCTTCTTGTGCTTCCTCCAACGCCAAGCATTTTCATTCCTGCACGGTGCTTCCCATGCTCTCTCAATCGCTCATAAAGAAGTAGCTCGGAAATGAATCCGTCCTTCAGCCACTCGTGCTGGTCAGAGGTCACTGAGATCATATAAAAAAAAAATAAAATCATGTTTTCAGTTTGGAAATAAATACCTTTTTGACTTCAGGAGTGGAGGGGTAGCCTCAGGGTTGCTATCCGTGTCTCAAAAATAACAAGAAACCCCATCTCCTATACCTTCTTCCAATAGTTTGGGATGGAAATGCTCGTGGACTTCTGAAACACAGCCTGAGCAGGCCAAAGGACAAAGCAAGGACAAAAGCGAGCCACAAGGACGAGCACAGTAAGAAGCAAGAAATCACCTTTTCCCTTTCCATCACAGCATGTTCGCCCCTTGAATACAAGATTTTTGGCAAGATGCTTATTAAACAGGGCTCTAAATTATTGCAAAAAATATCTTTCTTGCTCATCCCTGCCTGGAGATTTGGAATTTGTCATTTCTTTGAGGTTTCCAGCCTTGGGACACCAATGGGACTGTTTCTGTTACCTAAAAGGAGAGGAATTCTCATAATTTCAAGGGGAGGTTCTTGCTAGGCTTTGTTTCCTATTCTGAACGCCCTTGTTATATCCCTTCTTTTCTTTTTTATAAGTGATTTTTGATTCAGAAATGAATCAGAGAGGCGGTAGATGCCTCTTTTGGGCAAGATGAGGCGGTGATGCAGCTACGTGGTGAATAATAGCAGATGCATAACCCAAGTAGATACAGAAGTCATTTTTTTTCCCGTTTCAACACTGTGTGGCATCGTTTTTCTTCAGAGCCCTTACCATTTTCAGAAGAGAAAGGAACATTAAAAGAAACCTCTCACATTAAAATCCATGTTTTTTGGCAAAAAGCTCCCCTGGCACCAGCACCAGCACCTCCCAGCAAAGCCAGACCTTGAGCATCACAGGACACAGGGGACACCAGCCAGGAAAACTCAATCCACAGTCACTGAATAGTGCTGGGATCCTTCTAAAGGAGAGTTTCAGACTGCTATCAGAGGGAAAAAAATTTGCTTTCTGAGTTTATCCCACTTCCAGAAGCAGGCTGAAAGGCAGGGCTGAGGATGCTGATTGCATTAGGGATTCCGGACGGTGCTGGCGGGTCTCTCTGGGTAAACCTCTTCTGGAAAGAATGAGCCAGGCTCTTCACACATTGTTCCTCCTCATCCATATGCCGACGAGCAAGCTGTGAAGTATTGCTGTTAAGTTTTCGGCTGATTTTGTATTTTAGCATTTTTTACCTCCCTTTAAGGCCTTTGTATGCGATCGTTTCCAAAGATGTTGTTCCTAAGACAAAAATAAGTTTTAAAGTAAAGGTGATCATGCCTCAAAAGTGGCGTGATTTTGCCCGATGCATTTTAATGCTGAAATAACCACCTGGTTTGACATTCTTGCTCCAAATGAATTTTCAGGAACCTGAAATCACGCAAAATTGGGGAAAAAAAGCACAGCAAGTGTGATCGAACGAAGACATGGCCGATATTACGGCGACGTGCTGCCAACCCGGACCCTAGGAAATACTTCACAGAGGTTTGACAGAAAGTCAGATATTTCTCCATCCCATTTCACAAGCACCACGCATCCTTACAGAGCCCTAAAATCATCCCCAAAAGGCTCAGCCTCTGTAAAAGTTTGTAGCAGCAGTGGCAATGGGGATAAATTAAAGACCCCAGCTGGCATTTAGATGCTCCCTCTCCTCCTTTGCCTCCACGTCCACGTCTCTGCCAGGGAGAAGAAGAGCAGCCCCTTTATTTATTTATTTTGATAGGCAGCATTTTCCCCTAATCAAGGCTTACATTTGAAGCGGGCGGCTTTCTGAAGCATGAAATGGGTACATAAATACAATTCCATGACCTGTAACATCCAATTTCAGCATCTTTCATCGCGCAGCGGCTATCGAGCAGGAAACTAAAGGTTCTCATTTCTTGGGAAGTTAAACGGAAATATTCAAAAGTATTAATCATGCAAAGTGAATTCCGGAGCCTTACATTTATTTCTGATGTTGTGGTTTATTTGAATAAATCCCAAATGCAATGTGTGTGTTTTTTTTCAAAGCCTGGGCGTGTGTAGCAAATTGCTTTTTCACCCCTTTTCTCCCGGGCAGATGTTAAGAGATCAAAGACACTGAGGGGAGAGGAACTTAAAATCTTGTTGTTTGAGAAAGGAAGGGATGGATCCGGGCTAAAATTAAACGTGGTGCTCCAGAGCCCTACCACATCACACGGTGAGCTCTCTCCACAGATCTCATCTCTTGGTCTTGCAGAAAAAAACCCAAGCAAGGGGCTGGGACCTGTCCTCCCAGGGCTATTTGCAGGGGAAAGAAGAAGTCAGGGAGAGATGGAGCTGCCTGCAATAGCAAAATTATGTCGAAATGACAGGAAAAACATCTTTGGTAATTCAAACTTGACAAATGAACTGAACCTCAGGACTCCGAACAGCAAACGAGGGAGCCCAGAAGTGCTCGTTCCTCGATCAGCTCCACTTGTCCAGACTGGATGGCAAAAAAAATTCCTCTGAAGATCCTACCCCTTATCCTGCAGCGCTAATAAAACCATCTCGGCAAAGCAAACAGCACAGTCACCGGGCTCTTTGAAATTCAAGTCACAGCCTAGTCAAGAAGCTGTTGATGGAGAAAAATGTTAGTGCAGGCTAACAGGCTACGAGGAGCCACTCCAGCCCTCGATATTATCCACAAGCCGTCTGATAAAAGCTTCCACCCCAAGAAGGTGGAAGCCGGGTAGCCCGGGATGGACATTTGGTGATCCCAGCAGCTTGTGGAAAAGAGCCAGGCGGCTTTAATTTCAACAGAGGTTTTTGAAAAATAGTCAGGAAGGAACAAACACCACCCGGCAGCACCCGGAGTGAAGAGGCGATTCAGATTTCCCTCTCAGATTTGGGCTGAATTCCCTCTGTAATGTTCCAGGAGCTCCTAGGTGATGTTCTGTGGCTCCTTCGGTGACAGCCTGTGAAAGCCAACGCTCTCCCGCAACAGCTCTGACCTTTTCTGTGCTCACTGATTTGATTAGGGGACTGGTCAGGTCCTGCTCTTTGCCAGCCTTGAAGGCCTCTTTGAGAGAGAAAAGGGGAGAGGCAGAAAGGCACAGCACGGACAGGGGTTGATTTCAGACCCAGCTCTTGGCAACTAACTCACAACTGGTCAATTTTGCTCTAAACCCGCTCTTAGAGCCAAGACTTTTTCCCCTCTCCAAGGAGTGGCAACAGTAATTGCTGCTTTATTGCACTTTAATCAGGGCAGGGTTCGCCTTCCCTGAATGAATCCAAATGCCTTTAAGATTTCTCATATATTCCGTGTGTACGTGGGCATAATTTGGGTCCAGTCTTGCCATTTACTTGGACGGAAAGCACCCTGCACTAAATTCTGCAGACAGCCTGCCATGCTAAATCTCTCCCTGCCGATAAAATATCATTAATACAGTCACCGGTGATGTATCGCTAGGAAAGGTCACACGAGTTACAGGGCGTTTGTTAGAAGAATCCGGGGTGAGACTCTACAGAGAAAGTGTTAAAATAATCATGCAGTAGCCATACGGAGAAAGGGTTAGCAAAATTAAAGGGTTAGCAAAATTAAAGGGCAGTTCCCACTGAAGCTGGTTTGCTCAGGAAGGATCTACCTGCAAGGTGTGGGTGTCTTGGAGTGAGGGAGAGCAGAGCTGCTCTAAAAGCAGCCAGTTCCCCCAGGCTCCTGCCTGGGAATCAGGGAAATTTCCATCGAAACTGCTCTATTTTCAGCAAAACGCTTCAATTTCAATGAATCAGCGTTCGCTGATGAAGTCGGGTCAAGGAAGTCGAGTTCACATCCCGTCTTCACAGTCCCGTTTAAGAGGATTATTTTCAAAGGTCAGATCCACCTCCTTCGTAGGTCTTCTAGATTAGCAAATAATTGAGAGTTGGAGCAACATGTGCACGGAGCCAGGCTAAAAGCTGACAGCTGAGCATGCCTTTTAGCTCTCGAATCTCAGTTCATGGACGGGTTGCTTGAAGAAATCAGATGGAAGGAAAATCCCTGCAATATGATGTGACGTGGCACCTAATGCTTACCTGCTATATGCCCATCAAGCATTAAATTCATCTGCAAAAACTTAATACCAACAAGGATTTTACCTGTGGGTGTGCAAGGAATACAGACCTTGGGCTTGCCATAGGAGCATAACGGGGCTTAGGCTCCTGAATTTAGCACGTCACCAGCAGCCAAGTTCCTAAATACAGAAGAAGCTGAAGCTATAGCTTTTATTGGGTGGACTTAGACTCTAAGCAGATGGATAAAAGCTTTTCACAAGACTTATTCTTGCAGCAAACCTTCAGCATTAGTTACCCAACGGGCTCGTGTCCTGCCTCTCTCCTTCTCAAGGCAAGCAGATTCAAGTTAAAACTAAAGATATTTTCTTTCTGCAGGTAGCTAACTGACTGTGAATGCCAATTCAGTATAATAAAGTTGGTGACATTGTTTAAAGGAATGTCATTTTTTTTTAATTATTAAGAATACTCACCCATTTTTTTCTTCGGATTGGGTGAAGTGGGCTGCTGAGGAAGCGATCTGGTTGCTTCATGGTTGAGACAGCTCCCTCTCCTCCAAATTTTCTGCAAAACAGATAGAGCGTGAGATGATGAGTAAGCAACTGTTGAGGACTTCAAGAGATTGCTTAGGAAAATGGCAAATTATCCAGCATTAGAAGCGTTAATGGACAACAGCTGATGGTGCCAAACAATGAGAATATCATGATGGGAGTTAGTTATAATAACTGTAATGTGATCATTTCGCTGACTGAAAGTGGAAAATCAGCGTTCAACCATCATTTATGTTGCTGTCACAAAGCATTACGGTGTGCACGTGGCACTGAGACCTGTCCTTGCTCGGGAGAATTCAGTTCCAGCAGCACAGTTTGCCCACTCTTCCTCATTCTTCACATTTAAATTTATTATAGATGCCCACCAAAACCAAAATCATGAATCACTGATGTTTTTGCCAAGTTTCCCTTCTATTTCAGTGCTGTTGTATAAAGAAAAGCACAAAATTTCTTATTCTGCTTCCCCTCTTCTCCTGCTTTCCTAAAGCTGTCTTTATGTGGCACTGTGCCAAACACTTTAATAAATTAAATATAGAATAATAATAGATTAATAAACATTATTAATAAATTAATAAAAAATGAATAACTCAGTTTTTACTGACAGCAAATCTGCTGTTTCTTTTCTAGATTCTCTGTCCCAGAAAAGCTACGCTGCATTTTTCAAAGCCCTCTTTTCCACTTGTCTTCCTATGTTCATTTATTCTCCAATATTTGCTCAGCAGCATCGCATACTATTAAGGTTTAATGGACCTGTCCCCCTAATAATGGACCACGTCATTTTTTGTCCTTTTTCTTGATGTAGATAACCTGTTTGATGCTCCTTGCTCACACAGTCCTCCTCTTGCCTTGATTAAATATTAGGTTGAACAAAATCTACTACAGTTATCCCCCTGATACAACTTTCTATCAAATCATCCCCAGTGGTTTGGGTATATTTGTCCTCAAAAAGTCCCTCTCTTTTCCACTGGACGTGCATTTGTAACATTTGATTATTTATTTTTGGTCCCATTTAGCTTCCAGATCTTATAATTGAGCAGAAAGCACAATGAAAACATCGCGCATTTTATGTGGCCTCTTGCCTAAGCTGCACACTTGAGCTGGTTTAGTTCAGTAAATTCATTTTAGTCCATTTAGATACTCATCAGGTTATGCTCTTTTTATTTCCTCATCAAACTGGATGGATTATTTTTTTCTTAGTTCAGCGGATTTGGAACGTGGTTAGATCAACAAAGCAATCTCCAACCTTTGTCACTTTCTACAACTCATTTATCACCATCAAACCAAATGAATATTCCAGTCGTCCCGAAATGACACGTATTAGAGATAATGCCCTTCATAAAATGAGGCATGTAACTAAAGCGTTATCGCTGAGTGTACAAGAACTTTGTTTTTCTTCCCAAGACAAACAAGAGCTGCTCCTCGAGGGGTTTGCTAATAAGATTCTGCTGCAGAAGGAGTTGGTTAGGCACAAAGAGGGAGCTCGGCTCTCAGTTCCTCTCTGTGTTGCTAAAGGGACTTTGTAATGAAATATTCACTTGAGTAGCAACCGTATAAAAAGCTCTGAGATTAATATTTAGGGACGGAAGGGTTGGTTAGGATAAAACAATACCAATAAAAGTTAATCATCTCCAAACCTCTTCGTGAACCAGAAGTTTCAGAGGACATTTGTTTGTACCAAAGTCCAAGGTAGAGTGGATAAGCTTTTAGATCTGGGTGCGGACGAGATTCAATTTGGAGTAAATCAATTCAATTTTTTAAAACTCACCCATTGCTGCATGTATGTCCCATTAAAATATCACGGGCAGACTTTTTCCTCTTGAAATCTCTGATAAATTCTGTTCGGTGCCATGTTCCTTCCCGCCACTGATGGGTTCCTCCTGCAATAAACCTGCCGTTGGAAAGTTGCTTTGGAGGGGGAAATGGTGAAAGCCTTTCTGATTAAAAAGGAGCTGAATTAATCCATTAACAAGCTGAATTAAACCTGTATCACCCATTTGGCTCCAATAACCATCTTCATCTGGTGCTTTTGGTGTTCACATGTAAATGAAATGATAAGGATTGTTTTAATCTAATTATTTCTTTCCAACTGTCTACATAAAATAAAATAAAATAAAATAAAATAAAATAAAATAAAATAAAATAAAATAAAATAAAATAAAATAAAATAAAATAAAATAAAAAGACACCTGCCCATTGGTAACCGGTGCTTTATGTACTTATAAATACAATTATTGGTAATTAGTACTTTATGTTCTTAGGTACTGAAAGCTTTAGGTGCTAAAAAATGATTCAAAATCAGGTGATATACCCAGGTAAAAAACAAAATACTAATTCTACGTATTCAAAAAGCTGCAGTCTGTTTTTGTTAGTTTCTTTCTCTTTTAAATAAAACTTCTCTAACTGTCATGGCTCACCAGGGAAAGCCTTAAATATCCGTGTGGATGCTTATTAGTTTTTATTATATTGTCTAGGCACTATGCAAAGGAGGAAGGGATTTCAAGATCTGCAGAGCAAGATGCAGACCAAAATGAAAGAAAAAAACATGAAGAGTTACAGGGTCTTTTATAGGTGAAAAAAAATGAGAACAAACCCCAAAGCATCTCTTCTCCCTTGGCTAACATTTAGGTGTAATTTAGTGTAAAGCTGGAACGAGTCCTCCTGATTATTCTGAAATCATGACATAAATACAGAATCTGGCTCTGGTAAAAAAAACAAGAAAACAAACTCATGAGAAAATAGAAGTGAATAAAGGATTTTCACAGTTAATACCAACTGAAGAACTGAAGCTGGTACAAGAAAAAAAAAAAAAAGGATAAATTAAATATTGAAAAGACTTTAAACAAGGCTATTTTTGTACTTGTTGAAAGCCAGACGTCTGATTTGGTTCCCTTCCAGTCGTGATATTAAAAAAAAAATTGTTCTGCATTTTGCTACAGTCCCCTGACCACCGAGGTACCAACCTCCTGCGAGTGCGCCAGCTGAATCTTTGTTCAGGACGTAGAAAAGCCTCTGTAATCTCCGGGGTTTTTCTGTGATCCCAGCCTCCTTTTGAATATATACAATATGTCCTCTGCCAATACAAACTGTGACCTTCTGGGGTGGCACACGGAGGAGGATTGAATGAATTTAGGTCAAGAAACCGGCGGTAGCCTTGCACTGGGGAATTCTTTTAGCTGGCGCTGTTGGGGATGGGAAGCAGAGGTTGCTTGGCATGCCAGTCAGGTCTGGAGACACCGAATTGGCTTGGACAAGGGAAGAATGAAATATGGATCTCTGCTCACTTGCTGCTGCAAAAGCAGGGCTGAGACAGAAGCAGAAGGGTTGGTGTTTGGTTGAGTTGAAAATCCAAGCTTCCTCTGAGCGCCCTGAATTTGCATCTCGGCCCGGTCTGATGACAGCTACCACTTGCTAATATAAATGAAGGTACACAGGAACACAAGGTAAAAGCTACGGCAAATCAACTAAGGATTGATTCCTTAATGCAGTTAATCCGCCGTCCATAAATGAAGCTGCTTTTATGCAAGAACCGACCGTCATTATTCAGTGAAATTTAATTTCCCTTTAACCTGCTTTAAATTATGTCATAGAATTAATGGCATCTGATCTTTCAGAAGCACAGGCTCCTAAATGTGATTTATTAGACTAAAAAGCATGTTCAGACCGCCGTCAGCATCCCTCTTGCTCACATGCGGGCCAGGTCCTGTCACTTTATCCCTGTTGGCCTCCAAGAAGAGCTTTTTGGGTGGTCCTGTGGGCTCGAAGACACCTGTGGATCCCTTCCACACATGTAATATTGAGACATATCATATCATATAGCATCTGTGCAGAGTGTATATGTGTGTATGGTTTGTGTGTGTTCGAATAATACACTACACTAGCTACTTTAATTAAAAGCATTCCCTTCCCCTACATACCCACAATTTATGTGCAGAGGATTCCTCAAGTTTAGCTGCTTTGCTTCCGGTTATATTTCAAAATCTTCCAGTGGTCCAGCTGTCCTGAAAACGCAGTTCTTAAATGTTGATGGTTTACAGGCAATTAGCTCTGTATGAAAAAAAGAAAAAAAGAAAAGAAAAAAAAAGAATCTGTTGAGCTTGAAATTACCTTCTCATTTAAACAAAATCCCTGCAAAATCCCTGGCTTTCAGTTTGCATCCACACGTCCCCCTTTTTTTTTTTCCTAAGGCACAAAAAAAAAGATAAAATGTCAATGATAAAAGGTAAATGATGATGGATAAATAATGATAGATAAATCACAAATCAACCAATTCAGCTCCACAACAAATTCCATCCCTACAGGATATCCAGAAATGGTGATTTGGCCAGGAATGCTTGCTGAACTGAGACACGAGATGCTCTACCTCCCTATGCATATCCCAGGCATATTCAAGACAGGTTTCTGATGGCTATATATTATTGATGTCCATTAGCTGATTACAAAATGCTAGCGTGGCATCTGTGGTTTTTCTCTGCTGTTGCTGAGCACAAATACAATAGGAAATGTATGCCTGGAACCCCGACAGGCTATTTTTGTTTCATCTTGCAGCATTCATTCAGTGGCAGATAATAGCTGGTTCATCTGCCTCCAGCTATTCGCTAAATGAGGATGTTGAAAATGTTTCAACAACGTTCCCATTCCGTTCTGGATGTACATTAAGAAAAATGTCACCGCAGACAGGAGCTTGTCACCTTACATACTGATGTTTGAAGTTGTTCCGTGCTGCTGTGTCATACAAGATCAGAGAATTATTTAGGTTGCAAAAGACCCATAAGATCATCAGTGTCCTTAATGGATTTGGTGTTCTACTGCCATGTGACAAAATGGCATGGACATAATATCCTTATTTTCTGCAAGAACATATTTCCACTTAATAGCCTCAAGTGCCCCCAAACTTCTCAAATTTGGCATAAATAAGACAACCAAAGCGAAGAGCCACAAAAAAATCAGTGAATCAGCAAGAATCGAGTGTCACCAACAAGGAATTTCAGTATTATTTACGACGTCCTTGGATTACTGACCTTATCCATATTTATGGCTGTGGACAGCAGGGAAATAATTGTCATAGAAATAGCTGTGAGCGAACAGTTCAGGATTTCCAAGCTGGCTGGAGGAAGCCTTTCCAATTTAATAGGTATTTCTTCATCACACTCACTTAAACGCAGACCAATGTCAGGTTTTGGTGAGCAAAGGAATAGAGAAATGTCATTTTTTTCCACCAAAACTTCTGGAGCCACCCTTTAGGGTTCCCAGTGGGAAAGAACAGGTTCTTTTTGGTATCTGCCGTTCAGGAGTGATGGGGAGAAGCTCACAGCAAATTTTTTCTTTCCATGAATCTTCCTTAGGGTTCTTTTTTCAAGGGGCCACGATTATTCCAGCGAAGACCTAAGATGAAAAGAGGAGAGAGCTCTTTAATCGATATCCAAGGTGACCTTCGGGCAACTTGGCCGAGAAAATTCCACAGTAAGAAGATTTTTTTTCTGCTGAATCGGTTGAAAATGTGAGCGCTGCCCCAGAATTAAAGTCTGGGACGGTAAAGCAGCTAGCATGCATCATTAAGAAGCACAATATTCCCAGAAATGACATGTGCTAAAGGCAATCAGAGCCAGAAAGTTGAACGAGCCATTTCACTAAGTTCTCCCCTTTATAAATCCAAATTTGAAACCTTGGTTCTGAAACAATGAACACTTTTTACGTTTTAATTATTTATCAAAGGAACCGTGTAGGGCAGTTTTAAAAAACAATGTTTTAAGCTGAGATTTTCAAAATAGTCCAGGTAAAAATTCTGATGGAATTCTGTGTATTTTAGGATCCTAACTTTTAGGTTTCTTTGAAAATCTTTGTCTACAAATATTATAGCTGGAACGAAGTTAAAATCAAACGTACATTGTTTTGCCAGCAGCAGCAAAGTCTGAACTCCTAATGATGTCAGTCTTGTTCAGCTGTAAGGATGTGCCTTAATTCCCACATTTCAGTCATAGCAACCGAAGAATGAATCCAGGAGCCTTGAGGAAAATCTAGATTTCGCCCCTGAAAAAAAATGAAAATAAAAAATATATATATATATACATTTATATATAGTTTTGAGCACATAAACCACTTTTCCTCATGCAGAAATCCACTGACAAGCTCCAGTGCCTGGCCAAGACCTACCAAATATTATCAGTTAAGAACTAAAATTGATCAGGATTTTTAAAAAATGTGCCCTGGAGCATTACAGTTTAAATCTGATACCCAAATATTTTATCAAACAGAAGTGTGGCACCCCAGTTCTTTGATGTAACCTGATTTGCTATTCATGAAAATGTTTCTTCTTGTTGAGAATCTTAAATTAAATTATATAATATTATGCAATATTTTGTATAATATTTTCTGTTGGAAGGACCTCTGAAGATCACCTAGTGTCAGACCACACACCCCAAGCAGGGGCAAATTTAAAGTTAGATGGGGTTGCTTAGGGAAAATCATTTTGAGTATGTCCAAGGATGGAGATTGAAAAGAAAAAGGAAAGAAAATAAATTTTTATTTATAAAACCAGACATGGTTGCAACTTTCCACATGAATAAAGGAAGAAAGGACAGTGGAAATGACTGGTAAGTCCTCACATAGTAGGAAAATTATTAAATAAAACACCAATCTTGGGCATGGGCCATGTCCAGTGCTTCAGCAGATGGCAGAAAAATGTGTGCTGTGATTTCCAGGCTGCTCCTTCCTGCCCCCAGACCAAGGAATTGGTTGCACCTGCAGCGAGGAGATAAATCAGCCCAGTGCTATCAGAGATGCTGATAGCACCAGGAGCTGTGGTGCATCCTGACTTACCTGCTGATGCTGGGCATGACTGCTCTCCACTACATCCCAGGAAAACTCCTTTCCCTCCTCAATTTTCCCATTTCACAGGTTAAGGAAGGAAAAATATCACGAGCTTTGACTGTTCAGGTGATGGAGAGGGAAAATGTTCTTTGTACAGGGCCTGAATAAAGGCAGGGTGCTTCAGTAATTGAGATACAGGATGAAGATGGCTTGATCGAGGATCCAGGAGGTGTTCTGCAGAAATAACTGGCAGGATTTGAGCATGTCCTGGGTGTGAGGAGCTGCAGATCACAAAGAAGATGTTCCTGGCCTGAGCGACGAGCAATCCTGGGCTGCAAACAAGACTGAAAAAGGATAATGGTATTAATAATCTGAATAGTTACGGCCCCAGCTTCAGGATTTAGTCCAGGTGGCACTTTGCTGGGATGTTTCCAACCTTCTCTAGCCTTCTATTTATCACCTTTCCTTCCCCTTTGTCTTTGCACGCACACACCAGTCAGTTGAAGTTCCAAATAGGTGGTTTCTTTTTATTTTGGAGCAGTTGAACAAAGAAGAATGATTTCAGCAGTTGTCATATCTTCATTAATTACTTCTGCAAATAATACTTCCATAACATTTCAGATAACAGAGCAGTTGTGGGGTTTTTCTCTGCATCATTTGTCTTCATTTATAGGTGCCTGACAAGTCAAGCGGTTTTCAGTTGATTTTAAATGACTTTTAATATCTGACTAAAGATGGCAAATGATTTTTATTAGGATGTGAGTCCACGTAAGGGGAAAAAAATAAAATGGTAGCCTCGTAAGACACAATTAATCCATTCTGAATATCCTGGATATATTTATTTTTGACACGTAATGTGGGGTATGTGCAGTGCCAGAGGAAGCATTCTCTGAAAGTAAATACATTTGCTTTCTAACTTGACATAATTCCTGTTCTTAGATATAAGAACATATGCAAATTGACATATAGAGCTGGTTTAATTAAACGAAATTTAAAATGAAATGACAAAACCCTTGATGATACACAAAAAGGAAATACGTTGCTAGCTGAGGGAAGAAAGCCTGGTTATTACAGAAGTGAACTATGTGATTTTATAATTAAAACAGTCCCACGAAGGACTGAAAAGGGTAAATTACAGAAATCTGATCCAAATCAGCACACCTGCATTTAAAAGGTGGGAAATACCTTTCAGATCAGCTGAAGACTAGGTAGCTCCAAATCCCTCTGCTTTACTTGCAACACGAGAAAACATCCAGCATTTGGCTAAGATCCCATTTTCTCCTCTTTTACCTTCATTCCTTTTCTCCTGACATTTTGACAATTTTCTTTTTACTCCCCAAATATTCTCCTGCTCAGGTAGTAAATTAAATGTACTTTATCGCCCTTAATGTTTAGGTTTTTATATATGATATATATTACGCAGAGATAGTATTTGTAGGGGGTTATATGCACACATAAAGAATGAAAGCAGCTGTGATTTGTAAAAGACTTTATCTACACACAAATCCCAGTAAAATTCCAGCTGCAGTGGCTTGGGTGCATTTTATTTGAACTAAATTCCTTCACCCATCTCCAAACCACAATCTTAGCGTTGAAAAAAATAGAAAATTTACAACGTATTTACTCTGTTTCCTTTCTAACCCATCATTTATACTGATTTCAGGGTTTTCCTGGGCTTGGGCTAGGGAGATATGTTACCTCTTCCCTTATCATTAGCTTCCAGGCAGCAGCAGTGTGCCTGCAAAGTTTTCAGCACTCTATCTACTTACAGAAAATTTGTTGGTGAAGTTTTCAGGCCTGTGTTTTCTAAACAGGTAGGCTAGGAACTGATGTGGTTCTTGCAAGCCTTCAAGTCTGTAAATAAGGTGTTGAATAGAAGATATTTATTTAAGAGGACCTCATAGACACACATGCACTCCAGGATACAGCTAGATCCATTTCCACTGTAATTAAAATACGCACAGAGGAACCTTTCTAGAGGTGTTGGAAGAAAAGCGTGTATTTTCTGAATATCGAGCTAGGAACAAAATTAACCTGACATTTGTATTTGACAAGTAAGTTAATGCTGCGCTAATCCCCTTTGGGACGCTGCAATTTTCACCTGTCAGAGATGTTTTAGCCCAAAGGGGGTAGCAGTCTCATCCCTTTCTGTTCTACTTCAGCTGGAGAAGAGAAAAAGAAAAAAAAAAAAAGGAATAAATGAATAAAAGAAGAAAAAAGAAAAAGGAAAAAAGAATAAAGGAAAAAAAAAAAGCCACATGTAACAGGCTGTCTGTCATTATGTTCTTACCATCCCTTGTTTAGGATACCTTGGGGAAAAAGGGCCATGGAAGGCTTTGTGCATCCCTGTGGATACCTTGGAAGGAGAAATATCTGAGAAGGTGAAAATCTGCAGGAGCTGCATCCTGCCAAGCAGCATGCTGAGAAGTTTTCCTCTCCCAAACTAAGCAGGTGGGGGGCTGGGGTATTTTATTTTTTTTTTTAAACACAGATATAAATAAGTTTCACTTGAGACTTAATTGTTAATTAGTCCACTTTAAAACCAGATATGTTAAATTCATTACGGTGCTAACCCAGTTTGAGATGCATTAGTATTCATCTTCCCTGCTTAATCACTCCAGTATTCATTTAAAATTCTCTCAGTAATCTAGTCTGCAAATTTTCAAGTTGATGGAAATGTCAAAAGCAAAAGGGAGAAATGTCTAATTAGCTGAGTACCTTGCTTGTTGCAATTCCTTGGCAAATAATAAGGGGACTTATGTAATGCTCGCTGCAAGAGGGTGCAGTAGTTGATAGGAGCCTTTGAATGAAACAAAGAATAGCTCGTGATGACTGATTGTCTGGGCCACAGTGAGTGCATTACTCCTGTCTAGTGGTATCAAAACATAAAATCTGAGTGGTTCTAAGATTCAAAAAAGAAAAAATGAAAAAAAGGGGAAAAAAACAGTTTTCCTATTTCAGATTCCTAAAAAATAAAAATAATAAAAAAAAAATAAAGAAAGCTTGCATTGACTAAAGGGAAATTTATTTTATTCATTTTTTTTAATGAAAGAGTGGGGCTTTTTTGTTTATATTAGGGTTGTATACAAATTGATGGTGGCAATACCCAGGTTAGGCTGTGTAACTGTTATTTTCGCATCTTGTGGCTAGCTTTAAATGAAGGTGTAAATTAAATCCGTCTTTGAGTGCCTAAGATCTTCAGGCAGGAAATGCTGGATTTGTTTGGGGAGGCACAAATTATTTATAAGTACTAATCAGTGCTAGCCACTAATGAATTCTGCTTTTTTTTTCTCCTCTCTCTCGTTGCCAGATGTTAGTCAAAGTCTGAAGTTCCTTTATTTTCCTTTAATGAAATTACTAAGCAAACATTTTGGAGAAGGAAAATTCACGACCTCATTAAGCAGGAGCCACGGCCCTTCGCCATTTCCATTTCTGTTCTGTCTGGAATTCGGCTGCCTGCCGTTAAAATGCCAAAATTCATCACGAATTAAACGACCAAAGACTGCGAGATGCTGCAGTTATTTCCTTCTCTTCACCTAAGAAGTGTTGAGGTGGTTTAGAGGTAATGTAAAGGATTTTTAATAGTGATGCACCAGGGTAATGTCAAATATCTTCTAGCAGTGACATAATGCGAGCAAGGGTAGGAAAAAATGTGTCATTTCACATCTCAACAAGCACAAAGAAGTTTGAAGAGCTGATTTCCCATTGCAATCATCTGGGTTCCTGTCCTAGGGAAAGGCTCAAGACTGAGTAAAAGATGTTGGAGTAGATAATGATGAATAGAAAGAAAGTTTAAAAAAAAGAGAATGGATGAGAAAAGGGTGAAGGGTAATGAAAAGTGAAGCAGGAAACATGGATCAGCCAAGAGATAGCGGTGATTTTAGTTAGTGACCTTGAGATAGCTCACCTGGGACCTGTTTTTCAGAGACTGGAGGGAATCTTTTGACTTTCAGAGATGCTCAGGAAGCCAGATTGCAGCCCAGAATTACCAGGCACTTTTGTAAAGAGCTTCTTTACTAGCCTGGAAAGTGCATCTGTGGGTGGAAAATGTCCTTCCATGCCCCATTTCCATTGCATCTCGATGGATCCCTGGAGCTGCCTCCTGCTTTTACAGTCCTTTCGTATCTCCTGGCTCTCCTTGTGTTATGATCTCAGTTTAGTACCTGAACTTGTGATGAAATTCATGAGGAAAATTCCCTGATGGCTTGGTCAATCTCCTGCTGTAGTCTTAGGGCCTTAGTTTGAAACCTATTAAGGATCCTGTGTACACCAAAGGTGAAAAGGTTTTGTGTTGGAGCAAAATTCCTTCGGAAATGTTCCAAAAAAAGCAAAAGAAGAACCAAGAAAGCATGGTAACAGCTTACAGTAAGAGAGGAAACAGTTAAGTAGTCATTTTCTATTATAAGAAATAGACTTTTCAATTAATTTCTTCTTTAGAGAAAGCTAAATCATTCACGATATTTAAATAAATGTGTCCAGTTTAGACACTGAAAGACCATCTCTGACATCCCAAGTGTATTTATTCTTGTTTATTCCTACGGTAATAACTTGACAGAAGATCTGCATCGCTGTTATTGCTTCTTACAGGAGGACTAAGCCCAAGAAAAACAGGCTGTTGGGTCTGACCTGCTGATTAATGAGTGATAACAAAGCATTATTACAATCTGTGTGCATCTGAATGTCAGCTGAGAGGAAGAAAGGAAGAATCAGCTGGGAAAAATAACTAAGATGCAATGAAGTGTACACACATCTCTTTAAAAATGACATAACATTGAAATTGAAAACAAAATATGGCTAAAGCTAGAGGTCTAAAAAAGGGAACGATGTGAGATGAAACAATATTTTTTAGTTTTTTCTCGAAAGAACAGGAAATTGTGGTGTTAGCCCAGTGGTTTGATTTTTACCTTAAACACTCGCTTTATATCCTTTTGTGCCCTGAAAGACTCTGCTTCTTGTACAAAAAGGTAGGGCAGCGTGCCAGAAAGTCAGGTTCAATCTCTTTGGAGAAGTCCTCAGCCGCAGCTCATGGGCTCCAGCCTCTCTTCTGCCTTGGCGTTACGTGGCAGCAGTTACAGAAAAAGCTTTAGGGCAGGATAAATGTGAAACGCTTCCATTTGGGGCCGTAAATATTTTTCAGAAGTGAAAAATAGACAAAATAGTAGGAGAGAATAGGACGGAATGCTTCCTAAATCCTTCAGGTCTATAGAAGAAAATCCCCACCTGCTGTCCCAAATCATTTCCATCAACTTCAGGGTGACTCCCTCAGTGTATGGCCACTTTCTTTCTCAGAAAGTCTGAGGAGGACATATAAATCCACTTAATACTGGAAAACAAGACAGCAAGAGAAATCCTAACAACTTATTTAAATATTGAATGAATGAAACAAGCCACTAAAGTAAAATAATGCTGCTCAGGCTACTGGTGTGTTGAGCTCAGCAGTGTTTGTGTTGTCTCGTGCTTTCCTTGTGATTTCCTGACTGCCTCTCTCCATCTGCTGGCTCCTATATTTAGGCTGCAAACATTTGTTTGGGTGTTCAGAGGGCTCGGCCCTTTTGGTCCTGATCCACGACCGATACTCTGAGATGTTGCTGCCACGTTAATTGTAGGTATGGTACAGAATATCGCAGAGTAAACAAATTTAACCCAGCTGAACTATCGCTGGAGAATTAAAATAGCCATCTGTCGTAACAGCACAAAGCTAAAATCTTTCCAAAACGGAAAAAAAAATGTCATTGTACTTGTATTTCACCAGGATTTTAACTGTTGCTAGTATTAGAAGCTAATCAGTGCTGAGCACACATCATCAAAACGTCCCTGCTATTGAGCAGAAAGGCCATTCCCTTATTTCTCCTGCCCAGTAGCCTGAGCTAACTGACCAAATATTTCTGCGAGTCACTAAACGTTGCCCCCAAAATTACCCCTGTGACCCTCCCAAGCTCGGAATGGCCCTGCTTCCAAATAATGTTACGCTTCACTGATTCAGTAACCTCGTAATTTGTTCTCTGTGTGCAGAAGGGAGTTCCTTGGTGTTTATGTGAATGAGAGAAATAATTGCATTCTGGTTGTTGTTTTTAACCCTGCGATTTTAATTTTTTTGGTCCTGTTTTTGCAGTGTAGGAGGCACTTACTCCACTCTTTCCTTTACGTGATGCGTTGGATGAAGCGTGCTGAGACTGGAGACATTTCAGAACATGTTGGTGTCGACTGCCCAGGGATAGCTTTGTTGTGCCAGGTGCTAAATAAACACAATTTGGTTGTTCCTTTTCCACGAGCTGCTGGAGGCTGGTACGTGGAGCACTTTCCTTCAAAAATCAGCTCGTCTGAAGGCTCTTTTCGAGCTAATTGTCTCTGAGAGCTGGGAGAAATACAGTCAGGAGGAAAAGTTCATTAAACAGACACAGCCCCTAATGGTATTCATTAAATTTCCACCTTAGTATGCATAACCTCTTCCCCCACACCTTCTTCCCTCTCCTGGTGTTATCTGTGAGTTACAACGGGCCGTTAATATTCTGAAATGAGTCGATATAGAAACCAAATCATGCCACAGAAAAAAAATAATAATAATAAAGCCTTGCTTACTCATTATAGACACCATTCTTTCTGCTTAGACCCTGTTTGGCATTCTTGAAAAGACAGTGAGAAACGGAATCCTAAACCACTCCAGAAAGAAAGGAGGCTGATGAGTTAGAAGACTAGGGCAGGAATTTACAGCCTCATGAATCCTTTCTGTACCAGAACTTTGGAAGAATTGCCTTTTCGCTTCCAAAATTACCTGCAAGGATAAAATAAATGCAAACTGATGTAGCGATTGGCTCTTCTTTGGGCTGCTGCTGTTCTTAAATTAATTTTTCCAGATTCTGCTTCCTTTTTTTTTTCTTTTTTTTTCCTCCGGCAATCCGAGAACAATGGCATCATGAAACAGCCCAGTTCACAACACTGTATAAAAAGGCTCATTAAAATGCAGCCTCGTTAATTACTTTTGAAATTAAGTTATACCTGGCTATCACTACCTCGGCGCTTCAGATTCTTCAGGCATGCATAAAGGAAAAGTTATTATCTCACCTCCAGAAAGCATTTAAATAATACTAACAGCAGGAGGACTGGCACCAAACCCTATAAGAGATATAGGGGGAAGGAGAATCGGTACATACACTTCTTAAATAGGCACTACTTCATCTGCCAGCCCGTGCTTTTATCCCATTTATCCCTTTACCAGCTCACGAGGCAGCTCCCTGCGTGTTATCTGTATGAAACGGATCATAATCAAGACCTGGCTGGGGTCAGAAAGCCCTCAGCACCTCGGGCTGAGTCCAGCGTTGACCCTGCTTGGAGGAGGAGGTTGGATGGAGACCCCCTGAGGTCCTTTCCACTTGCTGGGCTCTGCAGTTGAGGCCTTGCAGCTCTTTTCATTGCAAGTATTTAGCGTGGCACACTTACATAATTTAATAGTTGTTGAGACTTATCATTTGACATAATGAAAATCAATATGTTCCAAAGGTTATACCTAGAACTGTTACCAAAAATACCCCTGGAAATTATCTGGAAATGCATTATCTGGAAATGTCTGGCCTCGTGACACTGAGAGAGGAGCATGCCCATTAAAAACAAAGTGCTCTGCCAGCTCCTTGACGTACAGAAGTGGCTGCACGAGCATCCCCCAGGAGCATCGCATGCCTACTGTGGATGTGGCAGATGCTGAGTTGTAACTAGGGCTTCCACCTAGGATTTCATCAGGACACTTCGTATCATATATACCCTCCGTTTTCCAACCACATTCTCATACCTTTACGCTGAAATACATCGCTGGAGTGCTGGTACTTGGAAATGAACGTCTTTTTGTGTCTTTTCTCTGCTGTATTGTGCTCACACTCTGCTGTCTGGTGTCTTACACGAGCTCCGCATTCGTCTGTGCCAAGGAAAATCATAACTAAGTCGTAATTAAAAAAAAATAAGAGGTTATTTAGAAACACCGCATGGACTTAAGACATGCCTGTGAGAGATAAAGGTGTTAGGAAGCCTCGCTGACCTTCGAAAAAAATATTAGATTTCTGGTTTTATTGGAAGAAGCTGTGCTGGCAGGAGGATGCAGGAATTCAGCCAAAGCTTTTAAAATGTATCAGCGTTAGGCTACTTCTGAGCAAGGGCAGAGTAGCTTGCAGTCTTATCTCTCTCTCCCTCATGTAAATTTACATCGGCGCACACGCCACGCTAATTATTTGTTTCTTCTTGGTAAGCCCCCAGCATCTTTAGTATTTCATCTGCTAAAACTTCCAAAGGTACAGCTCCCAACCCGTGTGGATGTTGGTGTTACGCTGTCGCTGGTGTTTCAGCTGAGTCTCAATAAAACAAAGATTAAAATCCCAACTCAGCCTTTTGGCAGCTTTGTGGGTTGTTTCCACAAAGCCCATGGCAGGCCAACCTGTGAAATGAGACAGAAGTTCCCAGTTTCTTCTGGGTTTTGTCAGTTTTGCCTACTGAGAATCTGATCTGGGGCCAGAAATCCTCACATGGTGGGCTACCAGCACCGCTTCTTCTTGAACTCCTGAGGATCTAGGAAGAAATATTTTGCCTTTCAGAACCTGGAAGAGAGTTCGTTCGTTAATTTGCAACAAGCAGGGAAGCTGCCCAGAGCTAGAGATCACCAACACCCAGCCAGGGCAAGCTACAAGAAAAGAGGGATATCCCCTGGTCTTTTTGTAAAGGAGTTTTACTTATAATGAGCAACACAAGTAGTGTTCTCTTAAATTATCTTAGAGAAGTGCAGGACCCATTTTTTCTTGTATAGGAAATTTACGTTTTCTCAATTGTTTCCACTAAATGTGTTCAGGCATATCATAATAAACTCCTTTTAAAAAAACTAAACGTGAAGTATTTTACTATTATCAAACCATTCGAGTTCTCTTTGGAATTAAATACTCCAAAAGCTCTGACTTTAAAGATGTATGAATCTAAGAATAACATCTCTGACTTACTGGCTTGAGTCCTACAAGTACATTTTCCTTTTTTATGTAACTTGCTCATTGACTTGGCCTATTGTAGGCTCTAGAAAATGGTAGAAGAATGGTATACAAATCAGAAAGGTTGCCATTTATGTGCAAATAGTTGAGGAAAAGGTGTAAATATGTACACGTGGCACTGCTGCTGCATTTTACTGGATCAATAGAGCTATCATGTACTGCCGAGGGCTTCTTTCTAGCAGCTCCAGGCAGGAGGGACTGTTAAGGTGTTGTCTAATGCTGAAAGAAATTGATGTTTCCTCTGGCATTTCCCGAGCTGCTTATGAGAGGCAGTAGGAACCATGCTGCTGCAGGTCTCGGAAGGTTTTGAAGGCAGGATGCTCTTGCACAATTGTGGACACGTCTTTAAGATGCTTAAATATCAGAGCTGAAAGAAATGGGCATGGTAAATATGTTATTCAGGCACACTGGTTTGTATTTCTCTTGGTTACTCTTTTGAACGCTCTTCTGCTCTTTTATTTGCCATTTGTGAGCCTGCATATTAATGAAACTTTGAGAGTGCTGCTGCTGGGTGGACCACACCAGCACTAATTCCCATGCAAACCGAGGCGTTCAGAGAATTTGTTATTATTCATCAATCGTTGTTCAGCGTCTACCTTCTTGTTCGAAAACGTTTACCTTGTTCAGAGAGAAGGAAAAAGAAATAATGCAAAAGGTGACGCCTCGTAAAACAGCAACAGCGAACGGATCGACGAAGCACCTCAGGGCAGAAAATGGAGCTTTTGTAGATCTGCAACACATCCACACGCAGCTGAAGATGGCTATGGTTTGTTCTTAAATGCTTTGCAGAGGAGCTAAATCCAGGAGCAGGTTTTACAGAAAGTAATTTTTCCAGTCCCCTGCTAAACCCGGGCATCACAAAAGGAAGGCTTCCCCAGCAGTCACAGCTTTCACCTAAAAATACTGAAACACACTGTTAATACTGTTCCGAATAATCAACTAGCAAGAAACCAGGTTTCAAGCATCACTGAAAGAAATTCAGCAAGAGAAGCATGATGAAATTCAGTAAAAATCACTGCTGATAAAGAAGATGCTAGTTGGGCTTTTCACTATGAGTGTTTACTGCTGTTGTTGGCTTTGTTTGGCTTTGTTTTTTTTAATTTATTATTATTTTTTCATCTAATCTGAAATTGCAGCCCAGTACCATGTCAAGAATCAGGAATCTGGTGAAAAAAAAACGTGGAACTACAAACATTTCTGAAACCTTTTCCTTTTTAATTCTCATTATGAGATTGAGTCGGTGGACGGTTGTAGTGCAACATGACGTTAAAGCTTTGTGGGTAACAAAATCCCAGAACAAAGCCAGAGATTCCCTAAAAGTCACTGTAAAATAGCAATGGGGTGAGGAAAATGTTTGCTTTCATAGTTGAGCACAGCTTGTACCCAGGGAGTGCTTGTCACCTGCAGAGATCTCATCTGCAGGAGGAACCACACAACCACAGAAGGTAAAATCTTAAAAGGATGCCAGGTCACCTAATCTCCCACCTAAAAGGAAATCATTTTCTTGAGGAGGAGTTGTTGATGTTTCATCCTCCATACCTTTGCTAGGATTTTTTTAATCCTTTATATTAGGATTTTGACCATGTATTTTACGACTGTTTCCCAGACTCAGCTTGCCATAGGCAATTTTCACTCAGTCTCATGCCAAAGCAGAAGCTGAAGGCTGACTTCCCAATGTGATGACAAGTCTAATAAACTTAATTTATGCCTTCATTTATCGCTTGTAAAGCCACACATCTGTCTGTCCTGGATATCAAACATGACGGCGGTGCCACAGAGGAAAGGAGAAGGGAGTCCCGTTGGCACGATGATGCAGGGAGGTAAGGTTCTCGCTGTGATGCTGGCATACAAAACGTGTTATGGGATATTCTGATACAGAAAAATCATGCTAGAAAAAAAAATCAGCAGGAAAAACCCTGAAGGAAAAGGAAAATCCTACGAGGAAGCCTCCTGTGCTGGGGAATGTGATCCTGAGATCCTGGGTTATGGGCAGAGCCTGGACTGCTGCCACCTGATGGAGGAAAATGCCTCCTTGGTACCTAAGGAGAAACCTCCAGAACACGTTTACTCTCAGCTAAAAACCTCTGAGTCATCTTTGCAGGCAATTTGCGTGGATTGCCATTATTTACAAAGAAAATTGCATGCAAATTTTCTGCAGACCAATTGCAATTGTATTAAAAAAGCTTTGGATTTTTATTTACATCTAGCAGGAAATATCCCTAGCCATAAACCACTCGTTCTTAGGTACTGGCAACATCATCAATCCATCTGTAGGAATTGAAATAATCATTGTCTAATACATTAATGGAAAGGTAGCTTAAAAAATCCAAAAGGAATTTGAAAACCTCACTGAAAGCATAAAATCAAAAAGCAAATATTTAACTCGTGCTGGAAATGGTTTTTCTGCCTTCTTACAGATTTGAATATTGTTCTTACGTCTCTGGAGAAAGAGTAATTGAACGTCAGGCCAAAAGTCAGAACTAAGTGTAAGTTCTGCTTGTATTAAAATCAATGGGAAGAAATGTGTGCTGCCAGAGGGCAAAGCGAGTGGACATCTCCAGCTGCTCCATCCTCTTTATGTGCCTGTTTCTTCAGCCTGACTGCGAAACAATGAGTGTGATGAGACAAAATTTAAACACCTAATATGCCCAAAGTCAGATTAAACGAGCTCAATCGTAAATCTTAAAAAGTTATCCAGCATGTTTTTGCAATATTCTGCAGTTCACGGGAGTCTCTTGCTTTTTTATTTCATTTTTCTGCAGTACACAGGATTTTCTTGCTTTTACAATGCTGCTCTTGCCACTTGTCACTTGCCAATACTGCAATTTCTTAACAGCCACTGTGTCAAGGCTGCACAGAAAAGCCCATTTCTGATTCTGTCTCTCCAGCAAAACCCACTTGTTAAGAGCAGGCAATGTGCATTTTGGTGGGTTATGCTTGCAAAACGTTCCAGAGAGAGAAAAAAAAAGGTTAGGGTAGGTAAATCAGGATCATAAATACAAAGCTCTGTTCCTTCACTGCTTACACCTTCCCCCCCAGTTACCTGGGACTTGATATGGTGTAAAAAAAAAAAAAAATGAGTGGAGATAAAGAGAGCCATGGGCTGCTTGTAATTCTGTGGGCATTCCCCTGCAATTCAGCGCAGAGAACAGCAGATGGACGCAACAATTCCAGAGGCTCACTACCTTGTATAAATTCCCGCTGAAAAAAAAAAGTTTGAACAGTATTTTCCAGGCACTCCCATGTCTAAATGTATAAAACTCTCTTGCGAGAGGCAGTTATGTCTAGTCCAAAGTAATATGTGCACAAAGCTGAAGTGTAGTGCCTTCTGGTTACTTACCAGTAAGTACATTATTTTGCTGGGTAAGCTAGGTAGATACATACCAAATTCAGTACTAAATTTCCATTTTTTTTGCTTTCTTCCCCCGTGGGAGACTCGGCGGTGACAAGCAATGAACACGGTCCCTGCTTTAAAATACCTTTCAATTCCCATCAAAGGAAAAAGCAGAACCATCCTAATCCTTCTACATTTTTGCCTAAACAGCTATTACCTCACGTAGCTGCCCAAGCAAACTTTTCACGCCGTGTCTGAGCCTTCTGTATGAAGATGCAGGATTAAATATTTCAGGTATTAATCAAAATTAAAATAATAAAATACAGCCCTTCCCGAAAAAGGACATTGCTTCCATTTCAGTGGACAAAAAGCCACTGAAACGTGTGGTCTTCTAAGCACAACTGATTTCATCTTAGTAGGCTTTTATTTGTGCATATTTTATATAACTCTATAAATTCCATGCCCATAAGTGTATATATATTCGGAGCATTGACCTATAAAAGTAGAAAATAAAATTTTATTTCCATTATCAGCAGTGTCTCTGCAAAATCGTGCAAACAAGCATCTGTACTTCTGGATAATTAGCAACGTTTCCCAGCCCTTTTTACAGCCCTGCATGCTCACAGAGGGTTACTGGGATCTGGAACCACTGAACTCCCTGCGCCTGTGCCTGTTCCAGGAAATTAAATGTCTCCAGGCACAGGAATTGAATCGCCCATATGGTTAACTCTTGGCACGGTCCCTGGCTCAGCTCTGCCAACTAGCCAACTAGCAGTTTTTCCCCCCAAATTTCCAGGCGGAGGCAGGCAGTTAGCACCAGCCAAGGACGCTTCCCAACATCCAGCTTGCATGAAGTCGGCCTATTTTGGAGGCCAAAATTTCACAGCGTAGGAGCACGCTGCTCCACACCACTTGCCAAAGACCGGAGCGTTTTCGAGCACTCTTAGCTTCCTGGTGCATGTGTAAGGGGGAATTTGGGCAATTTAGCTTTTTAATTAAGTTCTGTAGATTGGGGTGAGATGTGGACTCCTCCTGGCTTAGCTGCCTGAGTTTAGCTGCTCGAGTGCTGTGTGCAGTTTGGGGTGCCACGATTCAATAAGGACATGAAAAATCTAACTCTGGACTGCGTATTTTAATTTCTGAGACCTTCAGTACCGTCAGCATGGTCTGAAACTCATCATTATGCCACAAAAGTAGTCATCTACTAGCAGAACACATAAGCTAACTGATGATTTACCTGCCTAGAACAACCTCTCGCCTCTTTTTCCACAAAAACTTTTCCAAGCCTTTGACCTCTCTTCAAAAAGTGAGCTCCAATACGCGTTATTAATTTAAACGATGTTCCTCGACCTAAATGGCTATCTGGATGCTAACGATAATGTTCCTCGGCTAATGGGAAGGAGGAATCCCTCTGAAAATAAGAGGGGTAATGTTTTGGAACAGACACTTTGAAAAAGTTAGGATTGCAAATACGTTCTACTGGGACCTGTATTGTCATTCTGTCCTCGTAAGAAGATCTACCTAAAATCTCCACTTTTAGTTTATTCCCTTCAATATCTCCAACAATAATGTTGTGTTTATTCTCAGATGAAACCTCAAGGCTCTTTAAATCACTTGGAATTATCTTTTCAAAACCTGGAGAAAAAGCTATTGACTGTACTCCTCTACCACAGAGAGAGAAGCTGATGTGAATACAAGTCAGTACCTAAATTTTTAAAACTGACAAGTAATAAGAAGCTCCTCTGTTTTTCTTTATTTACCGTGGAAAACACCAAACAGGAGAGAGAAATGCCATTTCCCATTTTGGACGAGGCAGGAAAGGAAACCATCTTCAGCTGAAACTGCCAAACTTACTTAGGGGAGGTAGTCAAAACTGAACCACTCCTTAGCAAGGATTTTTGAAAATGTTGAGCAATCATCCGTGTGAGGTTGATTGCATGTGTGTGTCTTAAAAAAAATGCCTAAAATCTGTAACTGGTTTGTTTTTCAAAGGTGAAAAAGAAGTTTAATCAGCAAAATAAAGGAAAAAAAGAAGGCATGTTAGTGGAAGGGCCTCCATTCAAAGAGGATTTATGCCTTGCTGTTTCATGTCTTGATTCTACACAGTGTAGATACAGCCTGAGGGATTCCAGCTCGAACTTACTGGCTCGTGTGTTTGTTGATCTGGGCTTTGAATCTAGGGTATGTCTACGCTGGTTTGAAGTTTAGATTCCGAGTCGCCTCGTGCTTTGAAGTCAGCCAAACTGCTGGATCGCAGCCTGGGTCATCTGATGTTTGTTTTGGTCACCTCCTTTCTCTCCCTGAATCTAGTTAAAACGTTAGAAGTGCAACAAAGCAGCTGACTCATTCACTCAAAATCACATTCTTTCCAAATAATAAATACCACTTCGGGATTGTGCAGTGCGTTTGAGAAAGTAAAATGCAATCAGGAGAGGCAGAATAATGTTCCCCACTCATCTTTAGGCAATATAACTCAAAGGATCAGAGCATTTAAATAACACACATTCATTCTTTACATCCTCTGCCTGTCACACAAGGTAAGTAAAGCAGAAAATAAAAGCATGACGTTAGCACAGATCTGCTAACGTGCTCGTGGGACCTGGAACAAAATTCGGAACATTCCTTGGCACCCAGGTAGGATTCAGATCACAATAAATCACGGCCTGCTTCCGCAGCTGGTTAGCACAGGGATCAACAAGGGGGAATGATGAATTTCTATTCGTAAACCTCCTTCCAAATCCTCCCTGTTGGGAGACACCAGGAAAGGATCCTGGTTCTTTTCTGATATGATTCACAGGTTGAAATTCAGTTTGGGTCCTAAAAGAAGATTAAACTGGGAGTTGGGTATCTGAGCATCAGCTCAGGCGAGGTATCTTCAAAAAAATACCAGCCTTTTAAAGAGCACCATCCTGGTGAAAAATAGAAATTACAGAGCTAAGGAATTATCTAGAAGCACTTTATCCCTCCTAACAAACGGAAAACTGTGCAGCTTTTGTTTCCACATCTAAATAATCTTGAAATTTGTGTCTGGACTTTAGCTATTAGGTTTCAGAGCAGCTCCTCTGCATCTGTGGATTGTATTAAATAAACTGGAAATGTTTTACTAAGTCTGTTTGCCATTCTTAGTTACTTTGGATATGCTGTTAATTACTGTCTTGCAATTCCCCTTGTTGTTATTCCCAGATAATTAAACCCTTATGTCTTTGTTCCACCCAGCTCATCTACCCCAAAGTTAGCAGGGAGCACACGGCTGCAAAACAAATGTGGAAAAAGAGCCTGATATTTGCAGAAGGGCCTTCCAGTTGTTCCTTTCCTCCCAGCAGTGAGTTAAAATCAACTCCTGACGGTGTGGGAGTGTTTGTTTTAACTCATTAAACTCTTTGAGAACCTGCTTATTTTAAAGAAACTCTAATATCAGGCAAGAGCATGACAACATTTTGCATTACACACAGATCAGGACCAGCAATCTTATCTAACTTACCTGACTGCTCCCCAGCAGATCCTCTTGGAAAATCCTCCTCCGGGTCTGTCGTGTGAGACGATGCAGTGCCAGGTCAATTCTTGCTGCCAGAGCCAGGACAGAGGAGAACATCTTGGAGTTTCGGCCTCTCCGAAGTGCTGATTTAGTTCTAACACAGATTTCAGTTTTTTTTTTTAATCTCCCTGGGTTATTTCGATGAAAACCCATTGACAGAGGGTTCATTTTTCGGTTGTCTTCAAACGTTGAGATGAACCAAAGGACACCCATCATATGGGCAACGCCACTTCGTGCCTCCACGCCTGTGTTCCCAGGCTGAAACGCATCCAGCTGGGAGTTTTCATCACCCTGGAGATTAGTTTCAATTCTCTATCTCTGATTAGAAAGATTTTTTAATATTTTTCATATATTTTTTTATATTTTTTTTTATATTTTTAAGAACATTATCTTCAATATCAAAAAGGGAAAAACCATCATGGCTTTGCACAACCCAAACGGGCAGCGCAAAACCGTCCAAAGCCTTTTTTTCATTCTAACGTGACCACCCTAGAAGAGGATTAGCATAATTAGCAATGGTAGCTAATTATTTTCTTTATCAAAATAGCCCTGTTTACTTGCTGCAGAGCGGGCTGGAGCTGCGAAATGAGAACTGGCCATCCGCCCATCTCTCCTTTCCTCCTCTTCCAGCCCTTTTCCTTCGGAGTGGCTGAGGAGGGGAGAGATGAGGGTTTGGGGATTTTTATTTTTATTTTTTTCGGTTTTAATCGAGAGAAATAGTTCTGTATACAACATATACAGGTTTTCTACCCATATGTATGTATACAGATATATAGGTGATCAAATTTGGGTTAAATAGATGTAAGTTAAAAACAAATAAGATAAACTCCTAGCCCAAATAAAAAACATATGCTGCAAATTGTTCTCAGGTTGCTGCATCCTCTTTGGAAGTGCAGCGTTTCCTTTAGCTCCTGGAAACTGGAAATGGTATCATTTGCAGCAGAAAAAAGTAATTTTTTTAAGTATTTTCTGTGTTTTAACAAGCGGGATGTCCAAGTCCATTCCTCCACACCTGTATTTATGATAGCAAGCAAGGAGGATTTCCCATATTTTTCCCTCCCCTTCCATCCCCTCCTGGCTTTTTCTTCCTCCCCCTTCCCTCATTTTTACCCTCAAACCCTCTCCCAACCTCCCTCAAGCAGAGCCCACCCACACCCACCTCCACCCACGGAGTTTTTGAGATCCCAGCAGTGGCAGAGCAGAGCCCACCCTGCTGGGATCCCTTAACTGTCAGCACCCACCCTCTGCCCTCCCACCTCCCCTGCCCAGATCCCACAAATCGCTTGGACCCTCCTTCCTCCCACCACCCCACAAGATCCCTTAATTCCAGACCCTTCTGGAAGCAGCTTGAACCCAGAAGCCCACCTCCCTGCCCAGACACCCCTCAGGTAGCAGCAGGGACCCCCTACCCACCCTTACCAGATCCCATAAAAGCACAGCATAAAGGCACAGAGCCCCCCTGCCCACCCAGCACCCCTTACCAGATCCCATAAAGGCACAGAGCCCCCCAGCCCACCCAGCACCCCTTACCAGATCCCATAAAGGCACAGCATAAAGGCATAGAGCCCCCCCTGCCCTCCCACCACCCCTTACCAGATCCCATAAAGGAACAGATTTCCCCGCCCTCCCACCACCCCTTACCAAATCCCATAAAGGCACAGAGCCACCCTGCCCACCCAGAACCCCTACTGGGACCCCTTAAGTAACAGCACGGACCCTCTGCCCTCCCACCTTCCCTTCCCCGACCCCTCAAATAGGGTTCAGTCGTTCTTTCCACCCAGCTAGGATCCTTTCATTAGCTGGAGACCCCTTTTTTCCCCTAATGCCCCTGCTGGTGTCTCTTCATTAGGGGCACAGACGCTCTCCCCCCACCCAGAAGCGGCACAGACCCTCTGCCCACCCAGTACCCCAACCCAGACCCCTCACGTTCCAGTAAGTTACTGGGAACAGCCAGACTGGGCTCCCACCCCTCCCTCCCTCCCGTTCTTGTGGCACTAAAAAGGCCTTTGAGGAACAGCAGCAGCCGCCCTCCTTCTACAAAACCCCGAGTTACTTGCAGCCTGCCTGTGCTGTAAGGGCACATAGACAGCAACTGCCGCAGAATGGGGTTTGCACAGTTTATTCACTGTGGAAAAGTGGCTTTAGAGCTGCCCAGCATCTGCTGGCAGGGGTGTAAGGCTTCTAGGAGAGCCCTCAGCCCCAATTCTTAACGTTGACCCTCATCCATGGGGAAGAGTAACTCGATTTGCTCCTTCTTCCCTTTATGGACAATTTGGGCCATCCGTTCTTAGGCTCAATCTTTGCTGGCTGCTTTATCTCACTGGCTGCTTGGCATTGGGAGGAACTCTGTGTCCACTGGGTCCATGCCCTGCCCCAGCAGGGTGCCCAGCTCCACGTCCATGCGGCTCTTGGAGACCTCCCCGAGGAGCCCCAAGGCTCTGCCTCTGTGCCTGCCATGGGCACCAGCAAGAGCCCTGCTCTGTGCTCCCTGCAGGTATTTATGGACACTGATGTGGCTCCCTCAAGCCTTCAGGCCAGGATGTCCAAGCTCTAAGCCTTTTGTCACAAGGAGTAACCTTGTCAATGCCATGGAGGCAAACCTGCTCATGAGGTAAGAGCATCTGTTGTTTGCTCCAATATTAGAATGAATGCAGCCACTTCCACATCATCCCCTTCTCCCAGATCATCTCAATTACGATCATGAGAAGCCTCAGGAGAATGCAGATCCAGCCTTTGCTCTTCTGCCCATTTGCACACAGCAGCCCTTCTTCCTTCAGCAGGGTCTGCCTGAGCAGAGCATTTCATGGTGGCATCTCTGCGCATATACGTTCTGCAGCTGAGACATGGGGCAGCAGTGCCCCTGATACGGAACCATGCTCACTTTCAAGCTGCATACGCTGCGCTTCAGAGCTCTTATTGCCACCTGTAGCTGCTCCTCTCTCCTGACTTCTCATTGCTGCTCACAGGCACATGTTTTTCCTTTCCCTTTCATCGTTTGGATTTCTATATCGGCGCGGGGCCCGTAGCGGCTAGGCCCGGCAGTACCGCGGAGCGCAGAACCCCACGTCTGTCCCCGCCGCCGTCCGGCGGCGACTAAAACGCTGAGGGGCGGAAGGGGCGGAGCTCGGCCGGGCTCGCGCCGAGCCGCAGCCAATCAGAGGGCGCGAGCCTCCCGCCTCCGCCAGCGGCCAATCGCGCGCTGTTGCTATGGGGCAGGCGACGTGCGCGACGTGACCGCCGGCCGCACCGCAATGGCGGCCCTGGGGGGGGCAGTTGACCTTTTGGCCGGGTCGCCACCCGGCTGTGTGGATCTCCATAGGCCGTACCCACCTGCTGAATGTGTTTCCAGTTTATAATAAGCACGAGGAGGCCTTTGGGCTTTTATTATGTCTGCTTTTCCCTCAGTCTGCATAAAAACAGCCACCAACGTGTTCATAAAATCAACATCTTTGCCACACACGTTTGGTGTAATGTCAGTCTTTCACGCCATCCACCACAACGCTTATAATACCTCATGTTTTCCTGGATAAATGTACTATTGCCTTTTTCTCACCTTTTTATGCCCAGCTGTGGCAGGAGCGCTGTGGCAGATCTGGGGAAGGCGGTTGGGTGGTTGACCAGAATAATTATTTCATAGCTTGGTAGACCATGGTTGCAATTAAGACACTGCTTAGCAAGTAATGAGTGACAGGAGATTGTAAAATTGAACATCGGCCTTGAACGTCGCCACTGACCCCAGAAATTTGCAGAGTCGCTGAATGGTTGAGGTTGGAAGGGACCCGTGCAGGTCATCTGGGTCATCTCCTGGAGCAAGGCCACCTAGGACCATGACCAGGTGGTTTTTGGAGATGATCCATGAAGGGGAAACCCAAACCTCTCCGGGCAACCCGTTCCAGTGCTCAGTCACCCACAAGGTGACAAGGCAGACCTCTGAGGGGTGCTGAGTTAAGTCTCCATCCCATAAGGAGATCAGATCCTTCTGGTGGGATCCTCCCTGGAGATCCTTCAGCTCCAGAACCTTCTGAAGGAGGACCAGGACGTTTCTTTGGGCTCTGCCTGAGGCCAGGACCTCCCAGTAGGACCACAACATCATGCCCTAGCACTGGTGTCAACGTAGAATCTAAGATCCTAATAGTCCTCATCAGAGCTAACAAAATCTTCTCTAATCTGTAACCTCCACAAGTGATCCCAGCTCATGGAGCTAGGCTTACTTTAATTACAACCAAAATGAGCTGAGCCGGGGATAAAAAAACAGTATTTTTGTAGTCGTAATTTCCTCTCTTTTGTAGGATTAGTTGAAATCTGTGATTTTGTTCGAGGGTAGATTTTATGGGTTAATGTCTTAATGCTTTTGTACTAGGTAAAAGAAAAAAAAAAAAAAAAAGCTTGTGTGCATGAAAATCGATATAATAAACAGTTATTGCTGCACAAGGGACATTATGGTCTCTCTTGGAATAGCAAGAATACATTAAAAATGTATTTAGATGCATTTAAACATGCATATTATTTCACAGATGAGTGTAATGGTTTCTTAGGACCTATTAGGTTTTAGTATGCAAAAAAAAAATAAATGTTTATTTGTGCGGCTTTAAAGAAAATTATTTACCAAAAATGACAGTAAGAGGTCCCTTAAGGTTTCATTCCATAAATCTTAATTCAGCCATTTGGATTATTAATCCAGGGAAGTGCCACGGACCTAAATGACTCATTACACACATTTTTCATGTCAGTTTATTAGTAAACTCATATATAGCCTATCATTATTAATTGGATTTTTTCTGAAACAGGCAGAAATGCAATATAAACATGGCAAGGTGTGAGCCAGGATCATCGCAACCAAATGGAAGAGAGGCTTCTAGCAATAACAAGCAGTGATCCACAGAAAATTTTATGGTGCCTGAGAATTTTACAGGGCCTGATGCTGAAGTCCATAGTTGGTGACGTCTTTGCTTGTGTTTCCTTTCTCTTGGCATGGTAACTGTTGAGGCAGTTTAATAAAATTTAATAAAAAGAAAATAGGAAAAAAAAAATCCCGCCTGGATTTTTTATGTCTGAATGTAAACTTCTCAAAACAGATGCGTATCGTGCAATCTTCTTCCCATAAAACAGGGCCAGCCTGACTCCTCTGTAAAATACAGAGAGAGGAAAGAAAAACAGAGGTTTCAGAAACAGGGGAAGTTGGATTTCTCTTTCAACTGATGCATTTTGACAGCTCTCACCTCACCATCCACGCGCACACAGGCGCCAAAAATGTCAGCTGTAAGAGGCTGTCACATCAAGAGTTTGTTTAAATAAACAGCGAGGCTGAGGCTGCCCGTGTCACATCCAGAGCCGGTTTGGGATCCAGGCTACGTTGTCTCCGAAAAGCCTGCCCCGTCAGGGTTATTCTCAACAGGTTACGACGAGAGAATGCAGTTAATGAAAGTCATTTATTTGCAATTTCACTCGCTGAGACCTTTCTGTGCAGGGAGAAGGAAGGAACAGCGAGCTGCGGCCGCACTGGGTGACTGAAGAGGCTGTAATCAGGAGCCGTAATGACAGCCTCCTGTAACCCCATTTGAAGCTGCTTGGGAGCTGTGCAAATTCAGGTGGCCTGAATTTTTTCACTTTTCTTCCATAAAGTCTTTACTGCTCGGCTCTCCGAAGGGGAAGTTCTTCTTTTCCTCTTCCTTGTTTAATTTTATTCCCCTGACACGTCACCTTTTCGGTGTCAATTAACTCGCACCCCGCATCCAGGCAGTAGGATATTGGCTGCAGTAAAAAAGCAGCAGCAACGATAAACTAAACACCGAAGTGCTCGCGGAATAGTGGATGAGCCTGCAGTAAGCTGCATCTGAGCACCATCACCATTATTTATGTACCAACTGGAGGTGCTCCCAGACTCATTTCTTTTGGCCTGACAGAAGACATTAATTCAGATTCCTTAAAACAAAAGCAACAACTTCTGAGCAGGAGAAAATACAGCCTGCTGGACCTTATATCTAAGCATCAAGAGACTTCGTTTTCCCAGCTCTGTTAGTTTTGTGGCTCAGTCGAGTCAGGCTGGTTGTCTGAATTGCTGTTTTCTGCTTTGTCTCTGTCGTGT